AGGTAGCGATCCCTTTCACTTGCCTGTGGTAAACAGAAAAGTCACTGAAAATTTGAATACCTGGATTGTCAAAGCGATGGAACAATGATTGCATGCGTGACAAGGGTGAATATATGCATATGGTATTGACATGAAAAGTAGAATGACTCCTAGTTAAACTGGAGGGACCATGAATATTAACATCAGATAAAAACGAATCATTATCTATAAAGCCATTTACTATCTAGCGCAAAAAAAATCAAGTCACGTTTTGTTTTTTTTGTTGGACAATGGCCTCAGCAAGAACTTATCTAAAAGAAAGTTATAAGCAATATAAAAGCGGCGCTGAAGATAGCGATCGTAAACGATGCGTATTAAGCGTTTTTTCACACTTTTAAGTTTTTTTTACTGCGTTTCTGACAAGGAATTCCTAGAGAACTGAATTGTATGCGGGATCTTTACAATTCGCTTGACTTAAGAAGTAAGAGAACAAATTGTTATGTCTAATGTCCCTGTGCAGTTGCTGCTTATGTATGCAGCGAACTCAGGCCTTCGTTTCTCTTGTCATCCGAAGCTTTTGCTAAAAGCAACTTCTTTTAACTTTTAAGAAACCTTCTATTTTTATGAATATTCAAATGCCCTATCAGGTTCTAAAAAATTTTATCTACCTTTTTACTTTGTTTCAAAAGTCGAACTTTCCGCACATTTAGCAGCCTTCCCACTCTTGGGCGCTGGAAGTCTAATCGTGCAATATACTTCTTTTCTTTCTAGGCGGCGGCGGTCTGATTGATTTCGAAGATATCGTTTACGATTTCCTCCGGCGAAATTGCTCTAGCGATGAAAGGCTGGTAACTTATTATGTCGTTGGAGATAACAAAACACGTGGCCTGAACCCCCAAAAGGACCTTGTTGAGTATGTTATATACTACATTTGTGGCTCAAATAACCAACGTCAAGTTATTAAATAATAAAATCAGTGGCTTAACAAGATTCTACGGCTATCGCTTTTTATTACTGCCACAGAAACTGCCTTGCAAAAGTTCCCGGTACGAAATTTGAATCGGTCCGCGCAGTGACTGCATGCCCAGTTTCTTTACAAATCACCCAAGACAATATGAATAAGCCACGATACTCTAGAATTAATATTTGATTTCGCAAGTAAAAATACTGTTATCAAATAAAGTCATGTGCAGTGTAAATCGCGCACCGCTGTTCGTTGGTCTAGAGATACGACGTTGAAACCCACACAGAAACAATAACTGCAAAAGTTCCTTCTAAAAAGGGCTGCATCGTTTCTTTGCCATTCTTCAATTGACCGGTCAATTTGTATCTTATTTTGGTGTCAAATGTTACATTATTAATTACCGATTGAAACTTCCAACACTTTTGAATTGCTACGTACCAGCTATTGTTTGTGTTTGCTTATAACTGAAGACTACTCTTAAATTGTTGCTCTAGTGCATGTACTAGTCGAGGACACTAGAGAGTTCTAGACTAGCGCAAAGGCCCTTGCGTTCGAACTGAGTACGACGCACGCAAGCTGTCAGCGGAACGCTGCGGGGCGCGTCAAACCAGCGCTTTTAGTACAGCGGAACGCAAACGCATGCGCAAGGTACGTTTGCAGTTTTGCTTGGGCACATCTAGATGTGACTAGTAACGAGTCCGCAGCATCTCATTATCGCGCTGCAGCCAATGAGATTTCGGCATTAGCCGATAAGTGCGCCGAAAGACCAATCACGAGGCCAGAATCGTGAACATAAACCACGCCCCGCGTTTCTCAAGCTCACAGTGACTGTAGGAATGCACTCCATCGCAATGAGCTCCGAACTCAGATCGTATGTGGGTATTAATCAGCCCAAGATCACAAGCACGATCGCAATTGTGCTCTAAACAATATATGGCCTCAGTTTTTGAAGCAGCGACTGGGTGGAATTGCAGGCTTTAGGCAACACCGCAGCAGAATGAACTTAAGCAGGCGAGTTTGTAACCCACGTAATGGGCTTCGTAATGCGGGTGTTGTTTTCTGTTACTTGAAGAAAATCTATCAATAACTTTTACATCATAATTGATATTATAGTCGACGATAAAAAATTTAGAATAATACTTAACTGAGTTGTTCTCTAGAATGACAAAAAGCTATAGCCATGTTATTAAAGGGAACTAGTTGCGGAGAAATGCTCCTATTCTTCAATGCAGTTATCCACCTCTGACGATGGAAGTCGGCCCGGTGAGTTACGGCAAGCCTCAAGTACAGTTGCTCCAGCTGTCTGCTGTGTATGTACAGACTTTTCACAACAACCAGTCTGATGTGGAGGGTAAGGCTCACATATCAGAGGAAGTACAGCACGAAGACGAGTACTCGTGGACCGTAAATAAGGGACTACAGTTCACTTCAAAGGTCAAGTTCACTGTAAACGTTCCACTAGTCTATCAATTCAGCTCAGAAATTTCGACATCAGTGAATACGGGTTCTGGATCCACCACGGTTGAAACACGAACTACGAAACAATGGATTAAACAAGATGTAATAATACCCCCTGGAGCCACCATTGAAGCAAAGTGGTATGTCAACGAAGCACAAGTGGTGCGTACAATTGGACGTTCATAATGAATCACGCCTTTAAACGTTATGGTGCGAGCACTCAATTGGTCCAGCTGCATTGTTTATTGGACCACTTTTCTAAGAAGTGACCACTATAAAATTTGCACAACGGCATCTTTTTTTATAGAAAGAAAAAAAAAAGAAGTTTCGGGGTAATTACATTTTGAGACGCCATGTTCGAACTTAATCCTCATGCATGTATAATCGTATTTTACGTTACTGACCGGTTAATCATTTTGTTTATTTAAAAAGCATGTACAATGAGGGGCGTACTTAATTAATTAACAGTTTATTATTTGCTTCGCTGCAGATACCGGTCACTTACTGGTGTGTGTCTAACAATATGTCCATCCTCTCGACAGGCTCCCAGCCTAGCCGCAATTACTTTTGCACCACCTGTGTGGCAGCCTTTCCACGCCCTGCTCGAGCCACTTTTTGGGACCACCTGACACCCACGCCTGAACAGCTGCTTCCCGTTTATTATGGTGTATTCGCACGACGGAGTTTCTCTCCAATGAGAGGATTAAACATCATCGAGTTTTGAGGTCACGTGCTACGCGTCACAGATGTCGGCTAATCCTCTGAGCTCGCGGCGTACCGAGGAGAATCTGTGGGCTGCCTATAGAATATCCGCCGTTCCGTCGGAGCGACCGGGCCCCCTCCTTTGTCCCCCTGCTTTTGGGGGAGGATAATGATGAACAACAGCTTAGAACTAGGGGGTGACTTTTCTTTATTAATTTTGCTCTGCCTTTTGTGCGATGAGCTCCCGAAAGTCGCCAGCAGGTTTGTGAAAGGAAAGACTCCGGCGACTCAACTACATGCGACTCCGTCGTGCGAATTCTCGCTTAAATTTTCTGCACTGCCTCCTCCTTCCCGTGTCGTTTCCTTCTCGCAGCTCTACGACGTACTCGGTTTCCTCCGGATATAAAGCTCTCTCGTGCGAATACACCATTAAAACCAAAAAAGTGTCCCGCTATATTCTCGCTAAATTTGCGATGAAAATTTTCCCGCTAAATCTTGCGGAAAAAATTGTTGGAAAATTTTTCCCGCTAAATTTACCCGAGCAAATTTACCCGCTAAATTTAGCGCAAATCTTTCCCCGCTAAATGTGGCGAAACATTTTTCCCGACAAATTTAGCGGAGAAATATTGCCGCTAAATTAAGGCTCCATGTGACGTCACGAGGGTGACGTCATTATGGGAAACATCTTATAATGCAACGCGCGGTTACGCCGCTGGCGACGGCGACGGCGACGGCGACGACGACGCCGACGCGTAGCCGACGGCGGCGCCATCGGACATCGTCCAATCACGGCATCGCATCAATGCACACGATGCTGTGATTCACCGGCACCTGGTTGGGTTTGGCCGTCTTCCTGACACGTCGTGCGACCAGTCAGACCTTTGATCACTCATAGGTATGGCCTGACCGGGTCCACAGTGGTTATCACCTGTTCGGTGGCGTGAGAATTCTGTCCAAGGACGCTATTTTGCGGTCATTGATAAGTTGGACGCAGCTCTCCAGGTGCGGGAATGAAACACTCCCAAAAATTGGTTCCTTCATAACATGAAAAGGCTGTCAAACATGTCGTGCAAGGGAATTCGGCTCCAAGGGTAATCCGCCAAGAAGGCAGACATATATGCACAGACTTCTAAATTACCGGTGCCTGCAGCAAAACAAAAAAAAAAAAGAACGGAAAAAAATGTAAATAAATATTTTACTTTCCTCTTACTATTGTTATCAAAGACACACCCAATCAGAGCACAAATGATTAACCTACGTGCAAAAAGCTTAAGTAAATTTCGATATATACAGTTGAACTATCCTGGGTAGCTAAACACAAGCATCGCACAGGTCTCAACCTAAAACCGAAAATAAACACGTCAGTTCAAAACTAGCACCATCTAAAGAACAAAAAAGTCGACTAAATGCGAATCCGCAGTAGGATGGCATTCAACATGGAAAATCTGTAGGTTTTATTTGCGTCAGTAATGTTTCCCGATTTTATTGCTGGTTGTAGAGTACAGGAGGACCACTACGATGTTTCGGTGTGAAGTTACAGGTACGGGTGCAGAGCTGATGACTTCACAACTGCATTTCAATTTGTTGAAACCATGACTTTTTGAAGGACGTGACTGTTTATGTGGCGTTCGTTATTCCCTGGAAAATCTGTTAACGTTCTCAATGTGTATTTTTTTCTGCCCACATACTTCAGTTAGTCGCCGTAATCACCAGCCGTGGCCAACTAGCGTGTCTAAGCAGTCGCAAGATAAGCGAAGAATCCCCGACTAAGTAGTTACTAGACCCTGCGGTAGTCATGAACACGAAGCAGGCGGGTCATCCGTTAAGAAGGTGCATTGAAGGACGGAGCATGAGCCACAGCGATGAGATTATAGCTCGGATATATAAATGGAAAGTAGTACCCCTCAGTATCTCTTTTTTTTTTTTTACTTTTTATTGGTTTGATTTTTTGCTTCTTTTTGCGGTACAGCGCAATTATGAATGGCAATTTTAAGATAATTTACCATCAAATCAAATACTTACATCGGCCGATTAGGGCAAGAGTTTTCATCATACTCCTGGGGCTATACTTCTCCTGTGTGGTTTCATGCAAAATGGCAGAGCCCGAAGGTTTCGTTTTCTATGAGTGCCTTTTGGTGGAACCATAGCAACCAGCGCTCACGGAAGCGAGGCACCACTTTTAAAGGGACCATGACACGATTCTGAAATCGAATTTCATCCACCGATCGTCCTAAAAGGTGTGAAAAGAAACAGAAAAACACAAAAATAGGGCGCCAATAAAAATTCTTCGCTATAGAACTTTTAAACGACAACCGGACTCTTTTGCGCCTTCTTTCCTTCGAAAGCTCTCTGCCTTTTCACTGCGATGCATCCGCGGAATCGCAGCATGTCAGTCGAATCCACGTCGCCTATTGGCTAAGAGCCTACCTCACCAGCACCGCGATCATAAACAATAAATAGCCGGCGAATGTTTCCTAGAAGTTTTGTTAAATAATATTCAGATCCACATTTTGTAGCATAATTAGAGATGTGACGAAAATTGCCAAATTTGATAATGCTGAGAGCCAAGCGCCATCTATCGTGTGGTAAACGAAACAAGAAAAAGACAGCGTCGCTCTCGCGACGACCAACGAACGTTTGTTTTTCTACGTGTTCTTCTCGCGCGTCCCGACTTTAAGCAGTAAGAAAAACGTAAAAAGTACTGGAAACAGACCACGACGAACAAGAACGCTGGATCCACAAACACCCGGGAAAAGCTCCAACGGCCACGATTCCACCGACCTCGACCAAGCGAGCTCGGCAGATAGGCCTAGCAGGCACTCCGACTCGGCGCAGTGGTGCTCCGACGGTCCTTGGGCAAGACCGTCTACCCACGACCGGCTGGCGTGCTGAATGAAATATGCCCGCGCGACCCTTGTGTTCCTTCATGTTATGAAGGAACCACTTTTTGGGAGTGTTTCATTCCCGTATTATAGTTTGATCGCTGATCGCTGTAGATGAGAAATTTAGTCAGGGCAGTACAACCGCTTGCATCGAGTCTTTAACATGCATCACGCAGTAGTGATACACGACCCATTCCGATCAAAACGGGCTGGTTTGGGTTTCCACCCAGGATAACTTAGTTCTGCAGCGCGAGCTTTCGCAAAATGGGGTTCAAGAACTTGCTGGTCCAACTACAACAATTACAACTTCTACTACTACTACTACCACCACTACTACTAATGATAATAATAATAATAATAATAATAATAATAATAATAATAATAATATTATAATAATAATTTTATTCGGCTTGTTCTTTCTTTAGCACGTACGAGGCGGGTCAGTCGAAGCCAGGGTCGGCTTGTGCGACTAGACCCCGTGGTGATGAGACTGATTGTTCTCAGGCGCGAATACAAGACAGTTATGCACAATTTAAAGTTGTTTCACGGGTTTCACATACACAAATAAATGAGTACTTGGGCATATATACAACATCGAGTGCACTGCAACGCATATAGACGTGCATGCCTAGATCTACACGTAAATATGCACTTAAATACATATATATACTTAAGCATCATACGGGCATATAGGCTGATGGTCGAACAGTCACTCACATGGTAACAATAACTAGCCTCCTGTCGATCCTAGAGAGATTTCAGTCGTGTATAATTCAATAGGCTGCTACTAGCACAATTGTTTTATGCGTTTTTTTAGGACACGCTGAGAGTCAATTTGATCAAGAAAATCTGGTAATTTGTTAAATATGCGAGGAACATAGTTAACAAATTACCAGATTACTATTACTACTAATAGTAATAGTAATAATAATAATATTAATATTATTAGTCGCGCATTTATTGTCACATCGGGACTGTTAAAGACGAATATGTGTAGAGGCACATCAAATCCAGCGAAGGAAAAAAAAGCAGAAATATCCGTACAAATGCTAGGTAAAAACATTACCTTCTGAATCACGAACCATAAAAAATAAAATCCCCCCCCTCCCCCCGATTTCAGCAAAGAGTGCAAAATAATTACGGCGAAGTAGGAAAAATAGCATGTGAAAAGTAAATCCAAAAGCTTGCACATAATGCTCAGTAAAAAAAAACTACAATCACACACGCGCGCGCAAAATATGAAGTAGTACAAAGCACTGAAACTATAAAAAAGTACAAAAAAAAAGGCAAGATTCAACATCTGAGGTACCTATGGCAACAAGCACATCAAGATCATCCTACAACATTTGGAAGCAGGCATTGCATATCATCGGGGTTAAGAGACTTAGTTCTTTTTTCAGTCTTCAGTAAAGTGATGTCATAAATAATAATAATAATAATACATTTTTATAGTACTCAGTAAAGCCGCGGCACCACAGAAAGGCAACCGCACGTACAGGTTCGCGGTGCCTTCATGGTACAACGACGTCCTTCGGTCGTTCACAGCAGTTCTCTCATTCCGTCTTACGGTCCAAAGATGGCCCCGTCCACTTCCACCCCATTCCAAAATCCGCGGCTTCCACTTCGCAGCCATCTTTGTATCGTCACGTGACTTGACCAACTCGACGGCGGAAATGACGTCAAAATAACAACAATCGCCGCCCTCAATTTTCCGGTCCTCGAACAACCTCCGAAAAGAGCGACCCGAAAAAAGCGGGTGACTATCTATTAGCCCCGAGAGCGAACACAAGCGTCGCTGCGGTCGCCGCGCCCTGATTGGGTGAGGTGTACCGTGACGTCAGGGCGAGTACCCCGCTCCGCGATCTCGCATCGGGTCGCTTCCCAGCACCGGTTTCCTGGTTTGGCGTTGTGTGCCGCAAGCTCTTCGAGGAGCCGGACCTCATTTACCCGGTGTACAAGACGTTGAGTTAGGCCGATATTAACGTGCTTCCGTACATTTTATAAGCCCGCTTGTCCCTTTTACCTTTAAAATTGGGTTACAAATCCCGAAAACTATCGGCGGAGGCAATTACGCCGATGAATCTCCCCGTCCGTCCACACTACGCAAGGCAATCTTGAGAGGGGTCGGTGAAGCGGTGACGCAAGTGTTTCAGACGCTGGAATTCTGTTCCTTGCATGTTCATGATTTAGGACGATATTAAATCCCGCTTTCAAGGCATCTGAAGCGGCCTTTATATCATGGGCCTTTCGGTGGTCGGCAAATTAGCTCGCGACCCCGACTCTGCGCTGCCGCTCTGCATGCGCTGGTTTGCAGATGTTTTAAAGGCCGTGCGTCTGATGATCTTTGAAGTGCTCATGGAACAGGGTTATTTTACATAAATGTAGCTTCTTCCTGAATTAATTATATAGTTTATACGCGTATGCAGGCATATTTCTTAGAGGATTCACAATTACTGGAAATTAGTTTGTATGGTAGCAGCAAAAACGGCCGAATTTCCCCCAGTTGCCTCTATGATATGTAGTAAACTGCCCAAAATATGCACAGCAATAGTGCCGTAATTTGGAATGTTTATACTTTTTCCTGACATTCTTTATTCCGGCCTTTGGTATTCGGAAAATACACCGTTTAGTCTGAATTGTCATTTCCATTTAAGAGTCACTGCCGCAGGTCCCCAAAAGCTTCCTCAGCCTCCAAACTCCCTGCAACCGGACTCTCTTACAACAGAGGAAAACAGGAGTAAAAGCAAGCATTCGAACGTCTGTCCAGTGGAAGATGCAGCACTGGTAGCAGAAAATGTGGAACCTGTGAAGGGCGACAGTCTGCGTGAGAAAAGCTTCTGGTACTTTAGCTTCAGGACAATTCGATTTAAGTAAAATCTCAATTTTAGGGCTTAGTGGACTAATAACGAGCTAGACACCTTAACTTACGTTTGTTATATATTACTTGAGGATTGATATAAACAAGTCCACAGACACCACCCGTGTAGTCCATTGAAATACTATCCGAATCCAGCAAAGGTCAAGTGCGAGCAATGTATATAACAAATGTTCCTTGTTTGTTTTTTTACTTTGCCCCTGCACTTGAGCTGTTTTACTTGTGATTCTCTCCCCATGGCCGAGACTGTATTTAGCAGGTTGCTCGAGCAGCATGCAGCTTTTCTGCTTCGGCGATCTTGTTGAAAGACAGAGATGCAAAAAAAAAAAATAGTATACATAACCTGCCAATTCATTCGGACCATCAGCAGCGTTTATTGTGCGAGATGTAAATCTGTAGTGATGCCCCTGCAATTGTGGCCATATTTCTTTATTTTCATATACCAGCTGTGGTTCATGCGTTGCCTGGCCTGTCAGCCATGCTTAAAATGTTCGTTGAAGTTTCGCCTGTAGCTACAGGCCATACCTCAATAAAGGCATATATAAAAATTTACACTTCCTACGAAAAACACGCCAAAAAAAATTAAATAGAAAGGAGCGCGCCGACAGCTAGCGTCGTCACAGCCTCCACAGAGCGAGCGGGGCGAGTCGGGGAAAAATTCTCTCCTCGCCGTGACGTCACCCCGGTTCGCCGTAAGGGGGCGCCAGGCGAACTTCTCGGGGCTAATAGTCGGTGACAGGTCAAGAGTTCAGGGCGAGGGAAAGGAAGGCTGGGGAGGAGGAAGTAGGTGGAATGTTGGAGCGAGGGGGATGTTTACACCTCTAGTCTCCAGTAATCTGTCTGCTTCCTCCTCCGCAGCCTTCCTTTCCCTCGCCCTGAACTCTTGACCTGTCACCGACTATAGTCAGAAGTATCAGGAGTAGCAAGCCGAAGTGGCATAGGGCTTAATTGTCCGCGACAGTTTTACAAAAAACAAAACGCAAGGGAAATGTGTTTGTGTGCGTGTTTATATAGCCTGTAGTCTGCTTCAAATGTAGGGACTTGTGTCTCAGTTGAACATGAGCAATTTAGCTGGCCAGTGCAGTACAACCGCTAGCCTGGGGTCTTTAACATGCACCACGCAGCAGTGATACCCGACCGCCCGCCGGTACTCATCCAGATCGAGACGGGCAGGGGTGGGAATTGAACCCAAGATCCCTGGGTTCTGCTACGCAAACTTTCGCTCCCCGTGCTCCTAGTTGGTGTGCGCTAACCCACTCGGCCACCGATCTCCCTAAACAACTCAAGGGAGAAAACACGGAAGCCACATTACTAGCGAAATAAACAAATATGGAAGCGCCCGTAAATGCTGGCTTTTCGTCGTCTTTTCCGCAATATTTGCTGCTCCAAGCCTTTCTAGTTGTGTCCCCCAGTGTTCCAAGATAGTAAGTGCTTCGTTAGCGCTGGCGGTCAGCGGTGGTAGGAGTCGGCTAGCTATGGCGCTGAGTCGGGTCACCCGCTAAACACCGGCTAAACTATCCGTATTCCCTAAACTTTTTCAGTCGCATTCTAAGCCGCTCGGGGCGACTGGGCCCTAAACATGGTTGGTGTATACCGAGTGCTTACTTAGCTGTGATTACACCTTGCCAAGTGATCATTTTAATCGATGACGTTGGTAGTCAGCAGTTATAAAGCTAGTCACGTATAGTGAATAAGGCTGATTATCTTTGTTCGTCTTCAATATGCGACTAAACCAATCACGTACCGATAATGCGCCGTGGTCCTTTGTTTTTTTGTTGTTGTTTTTTTTCTGTGCGCGATTGCTTTAGTCAGTGATCGCGTACCCAGAAAAGAAAAACGTTCAGCCTTTCCACTCTTGTGAAGAGTGGAGACCAGCGGAGCTGTACTCGATACACTGCAACAACGCACACGCGCCCGTTTCCCGCTTCTTCTCGTCCGACACGCCGCCGACCGTGGATACCTCTCCGGCGAACCAGAGTCGGTAGCACAGGGCGTACGTGACGCCAAACGGGTTCTCCACGATCTCCGCTCCGCAACCTCGCCGTCGCGCCCCGGGTGCTGTTCAGCCGGCGTGGAGTGCTGTCGTCGCCGAGCCTCGCGCTTGCGCTTGGCCTCCGTGGCACGATCGTCGTCCGTGGGGTTAGCCCGCCGGCGCCCTTTACATCGCTGGTTCTGCTCTCGGCGGCGGCTTTCCAGGCGAGCGATGTGCTCTTCTTTGGCAAGGGGATCTGAAGCGCTGGACGCAGTGGAAGTCGAGGCGACAGCGGCTTTGCGTCGGTTGCGGACCCATTCGCGCTGCTGCGTACGTCGCCGCTCCTTCGGCAGCCAGTCTTTTTTTCCCCGAAAGGTCGCGCGGCCGACCCATCCTGAGTGCAAACCGAAACTGATAAGAGCGTAGGAAGCAGCGTGCGAAACAGACGAGGACGAAGAAACACCCGTGACGAGCGCTGCGCTCGTTACGTGTGCTTCTTCGTCGTCGTCGTCTGTTTTTCGTGCTGTTTGCTACGATGAATTCCCACCAACGCGCCCAACTATCCATTCTTCTATGATAGCTGGAAGGGTTGCCGCCATCTACGAGCGACGGCGGCAAGCAGACTGTTTGTGTGCTTGCCGCCGTCGCCTACAGATAGCGGTAGCTGTCTAGGAAGGTTTGTGTCGACACGCGTTTGATACCGGACACGATTCCGGGGAACCTAGCCCTTAACAGCTTCGCTGTAGAAAAAAACGAGTGCCCTGACTATGCACTTTTGGCGCTTCATGATTGACTGCGTCGGCTGCGGCCGGCTTTAATTGAAACCAAATACAATTTAAGATCAAGCGATAATTTCGGCGCCAGGGTGGTATTATCGGGGTTCTTAAACTGACGAGTCAATCGGAACTATCCATTATTTTGTTTTCAATCTTTTTTTTTTTGTATCTTTTTAGGTGGTGCCATGGGAATCAAACATCACCTTGAGTGGACACGTTGTGGCGTTGTTTGAAAAACCTAAACAAGAATTAAATTGGAAGTACTTCCTTGTAGGCAACATTAAGCATGACAACATCACAACAAACGGATCTTCCGCCTTTCTCCGGGCTTCAGGTCTGTTTACAGCAAACGTAGCTAAGAGCTATCACCTTTCCACCACTGAGAAGAAATTAGCGCACCGCACTGCGAGTGTGGCTAAGTATATTATGCAGCAAGATAGTTAATGATCCATAATCAAGTGGATTAAAACAAGCCATTCAATAAATAAAGGCCCAAAGAAAACAGTTCCAATCTTTACTTTGACCGAATCAACAGTAAACTTTCTTCAAGTATTACCTTCGGCATTTCGTTTATTTAAGACAGGGGGATTAAAACTCCAATCCACATAAATAAACAAAATTGTAAATACCATGTGGCTTGCTAATTTACCCAACATATAAGAAAAATTCTGGGAGGAAATAAAAACAATAATACAATAAAAGAGATGTGTGAATATAATAGTTTGTGCTGTCATTATTGTTTTTTTATGAAAAGAAGACAGCAAAATTGATTGGGTAGGTGGTGTGACGTCCCTGGCCAACCTCCGGCGTAATCCACTTTAAGTTGAAGGGATGCTGTGGGTTGTGTTGCGACGCACCGACGTCATCCACTTCTACTCGTAGAGGGCCCGTCAGTAATGTTGCTACGCTCCGGCCTAATCCACGTACCAGTTCGGCCTGCCCTTGCGAAAGGGCCGAGCGTTGATTAGGGCCGAGCGAGACGGAACTGCCAAGTGCGGGGGCCAGGCCGACGACTGCCAATGGGCCGAGAGGGGTGTTGAGGCCGAAAGAGGGGGGAAGGCCGGGCACGGCGGCAAGGCTAAGGGAGGTGTACGGGTCGAGAACGGGAGTAGGGATTAGAGCGATTAGTGCACGCGTGGCTCCTCCGTCGTCACGGGAATTTGTTGGAAAGCAGACCGATAGAAGGCGCGCCCTGCTTCGCTCCTTTCTGTTTGGAGAGCTGTTTTGTTTGACGAGTTTGGTCTACAAGCTTGTTGTTGTTTTTTTTAACACCCAATTTGATTGAGAGAGCGAGAGATCGTCACGGCAGAGTGAGGGCTAGAAAAGCGAGACGACGTAATCCCGCTGCATGAGCTCTCGTGCAGCTGGACCCTCTTGCAATGCTATGAACTCGTGATCTAGCCTTCGCTATAATACACGGGGCTCCTAGATTGTCTCAACATCTTCGTCTTCTATGTGCTTGCCCAATAGGGCGAGGTGCAAAAGCCCAATTTCAATAGAAGTCTCTTGGCTTCCCTCCAGGCACCTTGTGGACCGGCTTTTACTTACGGAAACGATGTCTAAAGCGCACACATGCAGCGAGAAACACAAGTGCGATAGCTTTACTGCGTCAGTTGAAATTTCCATATGTCGCAATGGTGTTGACTGCCCTTTATTAGCGACAAAAACGAAAGAATGTGATGAACTTACATGGTCTCTGAAGCCAAGGCCATGATCTTGTATCGTCGATCCATTCGCTGGCCGATTACATAACCGGGATGGTCAACGATGAGGAACATTACAACGCGAACTTCACAATGTGGGAAATGGAGGCGACGATTGAAAAGAGCAAGACTCGAAGTGCCGCTGGGCCAGATGCCATTAGCAACAACATGCTCAAGAATCTCCCTGATCAAACGAAAGAAATCCTTCTAGAGGAAATCAATAAGATTTGGAAGAACGGAGTAATGCCCGAAGAATGGAAGCTGTCACGGGTCACGCCGATCCCAAAGGCTGGCAAGGCTCCTGACAAACCTCAAAACACGAGACCAATATCGCTCACGTCTGTCCTATGCAAGTTGGTCGAAAGGATGACGCTGATGAGAATCGACTGGCTAGCAGATAAGCTCTACATCTACTACCCTGCCCAAACTGGGTTTAGGAAAAATCTTGTAACGCATGACAGCCTGCTGCTTATCAGGGAAGGCATCTTAAAACACAAGCCAAAACACCCCAGACGACGATGCTAGTGACAGTAGATATAAAAAAAGCGTTCGGCTCGCTACTCCACACCACGATAATTAGAACCCTAACAGACCAAGGCATTGTTGGAAGACCGCTTAACTTAGTAAAAACCTTCCTTCAGGGTAGGAAAACAAGATCGAGGCAGGAACCAATGAGAGTAACACCAAGGAAAACAAAACAGGGGTACCGCAAGGTTCGGCACTATCGCCAGCTCTCTTTAACTTAGCTATGGCTCCCCTTGCATGGGAGCTTGAAGAAATCGAAGGACTTTTTTTAACAATATATGCTGATGACGTCACCATCTGAACCCTCACAGAAACGAATGCAGAACAAATGAAAAGATTGCAGCGAGGACTAGTCACAATCGAGGAATTCCTCAAGGAAGCCGGCAGAAACCCTCTGCGGAGAAGACCAAATTCATGGTGTTCGGCCACGGCTGGGAAGATGTTACACCAGACCTGAACTTCGATGGAGACAAGATTAACAAAACCAAAGAACACACAATTTTTAGAATTCACCTGAACTCCAGCCTTAACCCCACAACGTGATCAGGAAGAATACGAGCACGTGGAGACAAGGGCTGTCGATAATTAGAAGAGTAGCAAACAAGCTTGGAGAAATCGGAGAGCGTATAGCCCGAACCATCCTACAAGCGGCACTCATATCCAAGGTGCTGTATGGGCCGCGGTTCTACAGGCTACAGAAGAAACACATGGCACAATTGGAAACCCTCCTAAACGAAGCACGAAGGTGCATTTCGGGCCTCCCGAGGAACACCAAGCTAGAGAAGCTCCACGAGTGTGTTCCCTTCCCAAGTTTTGCGAAAATGGCGGAACAACAGGAAGAGATACAAATCCTCAAGCTTAAGCATACAAAACAAGGACGCAGCATTGGCGAGCTACTAGATAGAGGCTACGAAGATGAAGGAAGGATCCCGGATCACATCCCACCCTGGGAACGAATTGTTGTGACCGAGCCCAAGCCCATACCTCAAAAAATGGATAAAGGTAACAAGGAAAGAAAAAAAAGAAAAGCTGAACAACCCGAAGCAGAAGTGGAAGTACTTCTAGACGATCCCAACATCACGGTATGCTATACCGATGCGGCCCACTCAGATGAAGGAACAGCAATAGCATGGCATGTCCCTAGAGAGGAAATTACGCAAACGAAAACCGTTATCTGCGGTACAGCAAAAGAAGGAGAAGCCAGGGCCATTGCTTCTGCGCTACAAAACATAGGAGAATCGATTCCGAGCAACTGAAAGATAATAGTCTTCACAGACTCGCAGGACGTCATCAGAGCATGCAAAACGCATCTCGAAACAAGCACTGTGATTAAAGACGTCCTAGTAACAGCCACCCTTCGCCAGGTAAAAACACCGGAGAACAGGAAAACCCCAGGCCTGGCATCTACGACCCAATAAGAGCCATTGACGTGGCCAAGAATGCGATCAAGAAAAGGCTTGCACAGAAGAAGAAAGAAGCAGAGTACGAAATGCCATCAGGATTCAAAAGGTATGAAACTGTTCGTCTAAGAAGGCTTCAAGCAGGATCAGCGATCACTCCGTCAGTCCTCAAGAGATGGCAAGACAAGAAGAAAACTCGCCAAAATGCATTTTTTTCCGGAGCCGTACCAGTGCAAATACTGTAAGGAGCACACTCCTGCCGACATCCAACATCTCATATGGAAGTGAAAACACCACGATGAGGCAAGACACGCAACACTCGAACAACTCAAACCGCAACACCGACCACCCACGCTTCAAGATTGGCTCAACCCGGTCGGGGAGACTGCGAGAAGAAAAATCGTCCTGGGCAGTATCCTCACCTACCTAGAAAAGACCGGCCTGGGAGACGACATATAATTATATTCTACCCCGATAGACCAACATCCCCTGCCCCCTCTGGACCCACCTTAGAGCAACTGCCAGTTGAATCTTTGCCCAAAAAACGTTTCTCATACATATATAAATACATATATACATGAAATATAGATATCAAATGATTAATTTAAAGCCAGAAATATAAAAAAGGCCGGAAGAAAGCACAACACTTCAACGCGGAATGTAAAAGAACACGAAAACAAAGCTCCGGTGGTGGCCGGTGCAGCACAACGTGGATTGAACGGCGAGAAACTGAAGGTCGGCTATGGCGGCCCACAAAGCGCGCGGAAGGCGCGCCGACTGATGGGAGCTCGAGTAACTGACTCCCTGAAAGCGTCTTTTGCAAAAAGAGCTCTCTGGCCGCCGCCATTTTGCGACTCGAGTGACCCCTATCCGCCAAAATTTTCTGCCACCCGCCTGAGCTGTGGAAACCCGGTCAGCGCGACTCCCCACCTGCATTGTGCATTCAGATTTCGCCGGCTTTCCTTGAAAGCTTTTAGATTATTTGCCTGTTCAGGATGCTTGCGTGTTTTGTGTTATCGTCCACTGTGAGAACCAGGGAATATCAGGGCTCGCAGCCTGCTCGACCTTCGCAGGAAACGAACGAAGAGAGCGAACGTCAAGCAGCCCGCGACTCGGGCAGTTCGACGTTCTTCGAGGATTGTTTCCGTTGAGATAATCTCCGAAAAGCCTTCCCAAATATTCGTAACTTTTACGACCTATAGGGGGCGCACTGGTGCCTATAAAAATGGCTGTCATCTGGATGATCGTCGTAGAACTGCGGTACGAGGCTGGGTATCCCACGCGTAAGTAATTCTGGCTTTGCTATATACGGAGCAGTACCTTACGTTATGTTTTCAGGCCAGGAAAAAAAAATGGCTTGCTCTGTATGTTTATACAGCCTTGATGGAGATACGCCTCAACGCGTAATCGGTCTCTTAGCTGTATAGATGAGAAATTTAGCCAGCGCAGTACAACCGCTAACCTGGAGTTTTTAACGTGCATCACGCAGTAGTGATTACACAAACTCGTGCCGATACGAAACTCATCGAACACGCCAGGAACACGCCTGGCGGTACGAACACGCCAGGAAGGTGTAGGCGAGCCCATTTATTATCAGGCCTATCATCCAGGAGCTAGGGAGCGCGATTCTAACACCGCGGTATTCCCATCGCTGAAAGTTGCGAATGTTTCCGGTCTTGGCGAGAAGTAGCTGATAGGGTCCGGGGTATGGGGACTGAAGAGACACGTTCGTTCATTTGCTTTAGTGTTGTGTAAAAAAGCGTCACTCTTCAAAACGTACCCCAAGACAAGCCAGATACCGTCCGATCGTCGTGAAGCGACTATCGTCGACACTGTATATTGGATATACTGTGTTATTCGATACCTTTCTCAAATCCTGTTCGGATAACGCGGCACCGTGGGTTACGTACAATATATGTTGTTCGAT